GGTATTTTGGCTTCATTTTTGCACAATGGTAGGAGGCGGGGTCGCGTCGTCCATGTTTTCTACAGTCCATGGTTTTGACCCACGAAATGTAACATGCTTGTGAGCATATATGATTTAACAATGCAATGGAGGATTATGTAACACTGTGACATTACAGCGCTTTATTTTTGGACCATCAGGAAATAAATATATTAAAATGATCTACAAAACTGATGGGACTGATGAGACAGTTAAACAATTGAAGCCAACTGAGTGTGACTAACGTAGCTGTGAGAAATCAACGTGTTTGTGTCAAATCTGCTGGGGGGAGGTGTGTAGGTGTGTCGATGCCACAAAGGGGTGTGAGGCTCACCAGTTGTGGATGAGATGTTGACATCGATGCTGATCTCCGGGATGCCTCCTCCCTTCAGAGCGGCCACGCAGGTGTACGTGCCGAAATCAGTGAATTTCAGGTCTATGATGTCCAGGTTGGTGGTTCCAGGTGAGATGTCAGGATCTGTCTGGGTGATGACCATACGCTCCGAGCTCCGCAGGGCACGGCCATTCTTCAGCCAGCTAAATGTCAGCTCCTCTGGAGGTGTCGCCTCCACCTGTGACATCAAAAGGCTTTATTTTTATTACACTCACTAACATTAGCTCAATATTACACGCATAACCACGTGTGCTTAGTCTCCCGGTGTTTTCTGTTACCGTACCTGACAGGATATCTTTACTTCCCGTCCGATCTGGATGTGGTCATCGTTGTGGTAGGGATCTGGAGTGATCCAGAATCGTCCCTTTTTCAAAGCTGCAATTGCAAAAAAGAAATAATTTGATAAGAATCACATTTATATTTATATTCATACACTTCACGTGTTGATTCTGCAGCACGGTGCTGGAACAAACCCTGAGATATTCACAGTGGGATTTGGCTTTGGTTGTTATATTGATGTGTTTTTTGAGATCTAATCCCAAAGACAGGATTTTATAGATTTTTAAATTTTTTTTCCCCGCACTTTTACTTTGCTCAACGTCCACACTTGAGCTGTAAATCACTGTTATGCATCTCAAGTGAATGCGCTATGAAGCTAAGTGTGTGTGCGTGCGCGCGCGCGTACCTGTTCAGTCAAACACACATTGTTCAAAAAGGCAGTGAAAGCCTGCATCAAGTCACAGCTGCCTGAAATACCTGATCTGAGCAACTAACTGAGCAAAATATGATATTTGCTCCCCGAGACGTGTCATTTCTGGAGCAGGGTTGTGAAATTGTAAAAGCATCTTCAACCCAAGGTGCAAGAGTAGACGATGACAGGACTACTGCAACTGGTTTACGTAAACAACATCTGAAATTTGATCTTTTGATGGTGCAGCAGGGTCAAACAGAGAACTTAAAAGATAAAGCAGAAACCTGTGTCTGTTTGAAAGCCCAACGCTTTGAACCGGCATTAATATTGATAGCTACACATGGAAGAATCCTACGGTACCGAAGCAGGTTCACGCACACTACAAGCAAACACACACTGTGAAATTGCAGAGATACCTAACAAAATATCCACCATTTCTAATCCAATTTGGTTTGCAAACTCCATTTTCAAAGCATAGCTTCTCTGAAGAGAAAAAAGAAGATGATTTCATTATAATGCATGCTGTATTGGTTTCAAACCCCGCGTCTACTGTTCAATTCATCTCCTCAGCAAAAAAGCTGACGGCACCATGGAAATCTTTTCATCTAGCAATTCCCAAGTGACATTATCATATTCAGTTTGGTAAAGGGAAAACGAAAACAAAACCTGCGTGTCAGATTTAAACACAGGAAATTGAATGTGCAAAACATTGTGACGCCTGCCAGGCTGCAAACTGAAGGAGAGGCGAGTGACACACGCCTCCTTGACGTGATCTTCCTCCTCACGTTTGAAATCAGTGTCGGCAGGCACAGAATCCTATTTCTGATGCATGTCAGATACAAATATTACAATCATGTCAGCGCTCGCCAAACACCAATGTGCATTTGCATTCACTCTTCTATCCCATATACCCTTATTCTCCGAGGCACTGCCTATCAATCGTGAAGTATAATTCCATAGCGCTGGCATGGAAACTGTGACAATTGACATTATACGGTGTGCATCCTTATATCTGTGACCTTTATGGATACAAAGCATTATCAGGAACCTAGATTCATTTCCTGTTTAGACTCAGCTCGGCAATACGTTGAACAACTCCTTCGTGCATTCCTTAAACTCAACACAAAGAATAAGGTTATTGAGAAAATATAGAGTTCACAGTTAAACCCAGTTTGTGAGTGTGTGTGTAACATCAGACATGTCAGAGACATCCAGAGATAGAGACGCGTTTACATTCCGACAGTGTGAAAAGCCTTTTGGTGTCCCAGCAACATCCTGAACAGAGTTGGCTACCACATATCCACACACACAATTTGCAAACACACATTTCCACATAACCATGTGAGTGGCAGCGTTGTCATAGATGACAGTGGATAAAGATTTGGATTACATGCAAACGTCTTTTTCACATTCCTACAGCTCAGACGTATTCTTCTCCTTTCTTCACTGCAACAAAATGAGGTATTTAACAGTCGCAGGTCGGACTCCACTTCACTGTGAGGCTGGGTTTCATGAAGACGTCCGTCAGGGGGTCGATCCCCACCGTCTTCTTAAACTACACTCATGTCAGTGAGTAAATATAGCATTAAATATACATTTGCCCATTAAAGCTCACTACTCCAGATACATTAGCTCTAAAAGTACCTGCAATATTTATATAAGATCCCATTAATACTCTAAGGAAAAAAATAAATAAAAACATTATTGGTCTGCTGTGTCTCCTCTCTCGCTGGACCTTTTTATATTAAAATGCACTATAATTCTAGTGCAGATACACTCAACTGACCACATGAATCATGCGTTCACGGATGAGAAGGCCCTCTGTTGCACCGTCTGATGCAATGTGGAGCTGTGGAGCAAAAAAAACTAAACAAAAAAATCTTTTAGTTACTTGCATCCACTTCATATCTGTTAAATTTAGCTGATGATTCACTGGCCTGTCCATGAACGCATTTATTTTCTCCAGTGATACATTAAACAAAAAGAAAACTATGCGGTTTAAGGTGTTCTAGATGCAGCATGAAAAACGTCAGCTTAGCAAAAGCACTCACAGCACTGAGCAGAGTGTAACTGTATGAGAATGAACACATTAATGACCGTGTTAAAAACAATGCCGCAGCAGCAGTAATGCTGCAAGCTTTTAAGTCATAAAATAGATCTTCATGCGAGCTGCATATCAGTGGAGTTCACTGATGTAGACAGATGAAAACATAACACTAAGTATAAGCACAAATTATGCACCTATCCATCCGTAAAATAAAAATATAGTTGCAATTTTACATCTTGAACCATGGCTTTGAACCACAGCTAATTTTGCTATATGTTTTACTGGGAACATTGGAAATAGGTGCAGACATGTACTGAAATGTGGAAAAATAAATTGGAATATCCTACATAAGGCAAAAACAGAGTTTGTACAATTGTAACAAGGTTGAAAGTTAATATTTGCTATGACCACTTTTATTCTTTCACGATAGAGGCAGGCAATGATTTTATACAGAGTGGCCCAAGATCATCAGCTAAAACTGCTTATCTTGCTGACTCAGTCCCCTGTTGTTTGTGTTGGTAAAGCTTTATTAAAGACTTTATTTAAGTAAATCTCTTGCATCAACTCCCTACTTGTTGCCTTTATCGAGACAGTTATGACACTACTTTTACTAATGTTGACGTACCCTTCCCTTATTTTTGCATAGAGAAGCAGTGCACATCAAAACAGCCAGCAGTGCATATGTGCACTCATGCATATTTCAGAAATGGTTCCTTCCAAGTCTCCTCCACATTCAAAAATCCTTTCCTGCCTTTTTATCTGACCATTAATATTGAATAGCAAGTAGGCATTCCTTTAAATCAACTACATTTGTGTACGAGAGAGATAAGTGGGCATTACTTCCCCAAGGTTGTAGTAAATTTTGCTGGACAGCTGCAGTGACTTAAATGGCTCCTGCTCCTTTATGCATGGGAGAGAATCTAAAACTGGAAGTATTTTAAAAGGAACCGCGATGAGTGTGTGAGGTGAGAAGTACAGAGATGGGAGACTTTATCGGGTGACGGTGCGTTGTCACTCTTCCCTCCCCAGTCCGGATAACCAATTCATGGCAAAAGTCACATGAATGTTTTATGAGGGCTTTGCTCGGAAACAGAACTTTCCCATTTGCTCTGGTGGCAAACTGTGCCCCCGACTACTGCTACACTATTTTCACAACATCATTAATATCTTACAAGAGCGCTATTGTGTGTGTATATACAGTTGGAGTCTGTGCATAAATACATATATAAATATGTATGCACCTGTAAAAAGACAAATTGTAAAAAAAACGTGTGCATTTCAAAGCTGTAGCCCTACCTTTGTAAACTTTGAGAAAACTTTTTTAAACTCAATGCCCACTGACCAGCTTTTACTGTCAGGAGTATCATACAGTCATATCTGATCAAATCACTTTTATCTGTGAAGATTAGGTTTTACTGGTCCTGCCCATCCATACGACCCTTCTGGACGGAAGTTGCAAAAATAATCACAAAGGTACTGGGATTCAGTGTGACTTGTACATTCGCATCATTGTATCTACAGACGATGTTTATCTCCTGGGAATTGTGAGGGATTAGAAATATATTTTGCTGCTATTGTTAATAATCATCATCATTACCATTGCATTAATAATACAATCTGCAGTATTGATATTGTATTCAGATGTTTAAACATATTGGTACCCAATTAGCCTTTATTACAGGTGCAGTTATAACCACTCTAAACTGTTGAGTTGAATCTATAATCTTAAATGCTTTTGAATGCTTGTTATAATCTGAAATGTGTACGTGCTGGCCTTCTGTCTGGTGGAAAAGGTTACAAGTTGAAACTGAATGCATTTCATGATGACACACACAAAATCGACTTTATCTCATTTATAGGTGAGAGGTTAATCATGTTTGCTTGTAACTCTAAAATTGTCTCTGCAAAAAGAGGAAAAGTGTCTTGCAGGGTGTGGGTCTGGTGTTCCAGACGAGAAGTGAAAGTCAGATGGCTGACAGGAAGCATCTGCTGTGGAGATGGAGACAATGTTATTTTAAACTGTCTTAAGTCATTGTGGTTTTGAAACCTATGTATGAACTGTATCTGAGTGACGTCAAGGGGCGTAGTAAATTTAAGCCCTGAAAGGTATAAAACACCTGCTTATGCTCTGTAAGTCGGGGATCGGCGCTGTCTGCGTACAGTGGCGGTCTTCCCACGCGTGTCATTAAAATCATCGTTTGACTCCACCCGGCCGGATCAGTGTTGTTATTATGAAAGTAGATTACCTCCTCTACCCCTCCTCAATATTTGAACCTAACAGAATTTTCTTGGCATCTGCGAAAAAGGCTTTAACAAAACACTGGCTTTGTAAAGACCCTCCCACTATAATACTTTTTTTTTACCTCTATAGTGGAAGACATCAAATTGATGGAATGTATGACTTTCACCCTGCGACTCCAGGGAGACTTGGGAAGGAGACGTTGGAGAAAATGGCTGGGCTTTACAAATTGTGGCAGCACTCTCTAATGCATAGAACTTGCAATACCAAAGTATTGATATATGTATGTGTGGATGTACGGCTGTATACACGGGCATATATTGTCTTCCCATGACCTCATAATATTTTGGGGTTTTTTTTTCTGCATAAAAATGTTCCTAAATAAAAAGTATCAAAAA